CTCCCCCCGCGGCCGCCCTTCCGTGGCCAGGCCCCGGGCTTTGGCTGCGGTGAGCAGTCGAGGTGTGGGGGCCGGTGTCACTGCGCGGGGCGAAGCGGTGTTAAGTGGGCGGAATCGGTGGCAGAAAAGCTGTAAATCTGTCCCCGTGGTGCTTCGGCGTGGCGGGAGGGGGAGGAAGCGGGAGGGCGGGTGCTCGGCTGGCATTTATTTCAAGAACAAATTAAGATGGTGCGAGCTCTTGCTGACAGCGTGGATGGAAAGGGAAAGATCATTTGCTGTCAGCTCTGTAACTGGAATTTGATTTTATTTTTTCAAAACTATAGCCTAATCCACAGTGTTTCACAGGCAGTTGCTCAGATGAGACTTAAACCAATGGGTAAACAAAATTTCATGCAATCGCTGAGGCAACTGATGTCATCTAGATACAAATTTTACAAAGCAGAGACACTACAAAGGATCTTTCTTATTTTGTGTAGGTCTCTCATTGCTTGATCAGAAGAACATTTTTTGGATATCCCCTAACTAAAGCAGGTTCTAGTCTGGTCCAGAAGTCTAAAGGTAAGAAAAGAACTGTTTGGGTTTCTTCCCTGTTTCAGCCTTATACCAAGGGGTGACATTTCCTGCAAGAATTTGGTGTCTCCTCTCCTGTACAAATACTATGCCTCATTCTGTTTTTCTCTAGATGTTTGTTTGAGGTTCTGCAGACCACGAAGTTCTACAACAGCTGCTGACGCGTCTGGAGAGGACACTTTACTCAAGTGGGGCCTTTTCCTGGTCCCTCTGACCACATTCTGTCTTGGCACATGGCAGGTACAAATAAATATTGTATTTTTTCAAGAGATGAGTGCTTGAGGGCTGTCAGGTTTTTCTGTCTCAGGCAGTTTAATCTAGCTCAAATCGCATGCAGGGTAAAGATTTGCTGTTACTTTACATTTCTGTTTTCCAGGTGTCCATTTGTAAGTCTTTAAGGGAGAGATTCTTATTTTTTACACTTTTATTTCAGTATGAATATTTCCTCAAATTAAGGTCAGTGGCCTTCATTCTCGTATCTCTAGTTACTCTGGTTTATGCCAGGCCAGAGGAGGAACTTATGACAAAGGGTTTAAGGCTTCCTGGGATTGTTACATTGTTCTGTTCTATTTTGGGGAATTACATGGGGAATTACGTTTGTGTTTGTGTACTTCTAGGTTCAGCGACGAAAGTGGAAATTAGATTTGATTGCACAACTGGCATCAAGAATTACATCAGAGCCCATCCCTCTGACATTAGAGTAAGGAAACTGAGATAGTTTATTGTCTGCAGAGCACTAACAGTGTGCTGGGGATATTAGATATGGTCCCTGCGCTAATGAGCTTATACTAAACTGCATGAAAATTAAGGAATGCAGTCGGAATCAGGACATGCAAGCAATTAGAAAGACATCCTGTTCATTTTCTCATTTTTAGTAAGAGAATAAGTGAACTCTTCCCTGTGGGATATTCAAAATGTACATTAAAAAAATGAATCTCTCTTCGGGAGAATGGAGTAGGTAGTTCATACCATATGTAATCCTCGTGGAGAAGGAGGACTTGGTAGCTGGTGTCTGTGGTGCCCCAAAGGGATTATTCCTGCAACTGGGAGTCTTGGATCAATATCAGGCTCTGCCCCAAGTGTGGAGCAGTTGTCTTGGATATGAGAGAAATTTTTAAGGTCTCTTGGCCATATGGCACAAATGTCAAAACAGCGCAGTTGTTTGATTTTGTGGTCTGGGATGGGAAAGAAACGCTCCCTGATGGCTGGATCCACCTGCTGATCAGCTGTGTGTGCTACTGAAGGGGGACTGGGGTACAGATATCAGGGAAAAAAACTACTTGCTGGATATGCACGATCATCTCAATTTGATTCACTGTGATAGTAATAAAATACTAAGCCAGCTGCTTATTCCATGAGGCATTTGCCTTTTGTTTCTGTTTGCCAACTGGCTCTAGAGTGAACCATTAGGGAAAAGGAGAATCCCCACAACAAAATCCCCCGATTTGATTTGCCTATTGCCGCCATGATTTTGTTTTCATCTTGTTCCATGCAGCCCCATGGAATTGAAGGAATTGGAGTACAGACCTGTAAAGGTCCGAGGGCATTTTGACCACTCCAAGGAGCTCTATATTTTACCACGGTCACTTGTGGATCCTGAGCGAGAAGCCAGAGAGGCTGGGCGGCTGACATCGCACCCAGAAAATGGAGCAAATGTCATCACTCCTTTCTACTGCACAGAACTAGGGTAAGTTAACAGAAGTCACGGTTCATCTGAGCAACTCACTTCTGTTTTGAAAAGCTGAATCACGGTGGTTGGGTTTATATAAATCGCTCCCTCTCGCTTAAAAGGCATCTCTCACAGTCTGTTAGGTCACTGAGGCTTGAGTTGAAATTGTATTTAAATTCCCCTATAACACACAGATGACAAAAAAAGTGCCACAAAACCCATGGATTGCTTGTTTCTTTGGTACTTAGTTCTAGGGAGCTGCAGGAATAAATTTCCTTTCACTCATGAGCCATACTTCTTATTGTAACTCCAGGGTCACGATTTTAGTCAACCGAGGATTTGTGCCCAAAAAGAAATTGAAACCGGAGACCAGGCTGAAGGGACAGGTAAGGGGGACGCAGGGAATGTCACGTGTTACCCTCTGCCCTTCCAGTGCCCAGAGGCCCTGCTGACACACCCGGAAAGGCAGGAGCCTCATGGGAGGAGCTCAGCGTCATGGGAGGTTACTTAAGAGAGTCATTGCACTTTTTAAAGACGACAAACCTTTTCTTCTCACCTTTTTGTAAAGTAAATAATGTTTTTTTACAAACAAGGAGCTGTTCTTGATCTGCTTTTCTCCATGCTGTCTTACAGCACTGCCCCACTGCAGGCAACCACCACTTGGGTTTTATAATCAGATCCCAAAAGTGCTGTTTTTCTACCAAGACCTGGTATGCTGGAATATAAATTGAGCCTTGCAAGATTCCCTTTTTCTCCTCTGCATTTCTTTTCAGATTGAAGATGAAATTGATCTCACTGGGGTGGTGAGGTTATCAGAAACCCGGAGACCTTTTGTGCCTGAAAATAACATTGAGAAAAACCGCTGGCACTACCGTGACCTGGAGGCTATGGCGAAGGTGACTGGCGCTGAGCCCGTCTTTATCGATGCAGATTTCAGTAAGTCGGAGGAACCCAACCCCACACCCAATTCACATCAGTCTCCCCCCTCTTTCTGTTATTTCCCCTGGGCCCTTGGAAAGGTAGAATCATAGTTTAGGTTGGAAAAGACCTTGAAGATCAGGTCCAACGAGGTATTGCATCCTTCTCTTCGTGTACTCTGCTAGGTCTGCTCTTTGGAAGGCGGTAGGCAGCCAGCCTGGGGGACAGCAGCATGCTCACAGGAGCTGCAGGGGGTGTTCAATGCCTCCAACACAACCAGCCACTTGCCCCACGTCTCTGCCTTGGCTGGTGCCTTGGGAACCCCCTTGCCTGATGAAGAGGAACAGGGTAGCCCCTCGGCTGACCGCCCTCAGCCTGTGTCCCCCAGCTCTACGTGGTGCAGATGGGATGTAACCTGTGCGCTGTGTTGTACCTACAGGAAGCACAGTCCCAGGGGGGCCCATTGGAGGCCAGACAAGGGTGAGCCTGAGGAACGAGCACATGCAGTACATCATCACCTGGTACGTTACCCAGCTGGCTTTTGACCTGCCATGTCTTGAATGTGAAACTTTGCCTGGCATTCTTGCTCCTGCATCAGAGACTGGATGAGCTTTTAAGCTACAAAAGCTTTAACCCAAGTAACATTTGCACAGCAATAATTGTTTTATTGCACCACAGCTGACTTGAGAGGTCCAGTCTATCCAAAAATGTATAAATGTGTGGTTTTGTTTTTTCATAGGTATGGCTTATGTGCTGCAACTTCATTCTTGTGGTACAGAAAATTTATCCAGAAACTTCCTCTGTGAGGGGAAGGGCTCATCTCTTCTGCACTACAGCCAGGAGCAGACTTTGATGGAAAACAGCAATCTGATCAGGCCACACTAACTGAAGCACCAAGTTTCAAGGCAACACGCTTTCGCTGAGCTTAAGCAGCTATTGAGCTGCAAACAGACATGACTCCAAGCTCCTTTGAGGCTGCAGCTTGGATGCACTGAACTTCAAAATTTTAAGTGACTGTTAAGACTACTGCATAAATCAGCTTCACTAGAAATCTCAAGGATGCATTTTTGTATCAGGTTAGTTGAAACTATGAAATTCTAACCTCTCCACTACTGTACTTTCCCCAAAACAGCATGGGATTTTGTTTCTTTACACCAAGTAGTCATCCTGAAGTCAGGAGTGGTTCACAGCAGTTGCATCAGAATGAAGAGGGTGGGGAGGTGCTTGCCTTGTATCACACACCTTTCATCTTAACAGTGACAGACCCACATTAAAGGTTACTGTGGCTGCTCAAGTCCAGCCGGGTAGGGCAGCCTGGGCCTTTGAAAGAGCCCGAGGAGGGCTCACAAAACCAAGCAGCCGGTACCTTGGCTGGAGCCCTGTCAAGCTTGGTGACCTCCCACAATGCCAGAAGACCATGTCAGGCAGGAACAGGAAGACAGGAATATCCAGATGCTTCTCCCACCACTTCAGCCTGGTAACGTGCTGTAACACTCTCTGTAACCCACCCTGTAACAGATGATCTAGAGCCATTTCCAACTGAAATACCTGACTAAGCAAGCTAGGCTTAAAGCCAGAACTAGCCTAGCCCACTGATGGGCTGCATGTTCAAAAGGACAGCAATTACTACATAGGACGAGTAGTTAAGGGCAGTTGCTCCAAGTGTAGTAGTAACCTGCTCTGTGCAGCACTATTCAATCATTTGATGCAAGGCAACGCTGATGTGCTACTCACTGCCTGGAGCACTGCCATTAATAGAGACCACCAAAACTTCATCTGGGGGTTTATTCTTTTTATGTACAGAAAACACGGTAGCAATCCAGTACATCTTTAGCCCAGCTTCGTAGCCAGTTCTTTAGCCTTTGCTTTTTCGAGCTTAGCAATGCGAGCCACCGATTTTGGACCCAAGACGTTGCCACCCCAGTGACGACGGATCTGCAAACAAGTGAGAACAGGTCAGATGCCTCATACAGTCTCTTACTACGTCATTCAGTCAGTCTGTTCAATCCTCCTCCTTCCTGCACAACAGCAAGAGCTCCCTCAACTAGGAAGTCCTACCCCTTTCAAGCAGTGAACTACTTTTGGGATGGTACAGAGACAGAAGTTTAAAATCTTTCCCTGTGAAACGGTACTGGACTCAACCATCATGTAACTTCTGGACTTGGGGGATAGAGTTGAGCCCAGCAGCAGCTGTTGCCCTCCCTACATCCTAGCCCTGCAATAGCTCCCTTCCTTTACCTGGAACCTGGTGACAGCATTCACATTTTACTTCACCCTCAGGTAAAGAATCTGGATACATCATAAGCAAATGTGGGTACAACACACTCAACAAACTTTAAGCTGATGTCACGTTAGTCTGAGAATTTGCATTTCACTGGGAACTTTGGGGGATGTTAATAGTACAAATTAAGACAAGGCTAGCAGCAGAGCAACTTACCTCATCGTATCTGTCGTTGTAGTTGGTCTTGACAGCCTCCACCAGCTTTGCAAGGGCTCCCTTATCCTCCCTGTTGGTGACAGTTTTAGTTCCTTTAGAGCCTCAATTTCACATTTTCGAAAAATCTTTTGCCTCATATTCAAGAGCTCATAGTTGCAATGTGATTTTTCAGGTTAAGCAAAAACATCATTTGCAAAGGGTTAACCATTCCGACCATCAATGCTTGAACACTCAGATTAAGGGTAGTAGTTCCATCTCCATATTTTAGAGTAACCATCCATCTTGATAAACCAAAATCCTTATTTTCAGGATCCAATAGAGCTCTTCACACAAAACCACCTCTATATTAGACATTACAGAGGCAGTATTTTAGTTACTATGTTAAAACTAGAGATACCCTCAAGTTCACTAGCCATCTGCCCTACAGTCTGCACTTATGGGCAGTTTGCTTTCTCCATGAACCAAGCCAGCATGCAGAATACTCACGGGTTAACTTGGGTGAAAGCAACAGAGGTACAAGTTTTCCTGTGGACCAGTCGCCCCAGCCTGGCTTTGCCCTTGATGATACAGTATGGCACTCCCATCTTGCGGCACAGCGCAGGCAGGAAAACCACCAGCTGAAAAGAAAGAGAGGGTCTGTGTAGCTGCAGGAGGACATCTTCTTAGCCTTTGACTCAGCCTGGGCTGTGGCAATTGCTCAGTGTTAAAAAGCTCGTTTTGCTCTTCATTGTTGATTCAGGTGAAGAAATTCATACATCATTGCAAGGGCCAAGCCTCACTGTAATACCAGCACAACTATGTGCATAAACATTCCAGTTTTGGTTAAATATGTCTTTTTATGCATTCTCATGCAATAAATGTCTGTAACGCATTTTCACCTCAAACGCAGTTCTGACCCCAGCTTAAGTTACACAGGTAGCCTGTAACGTGTACCAGCGAGTATGCTTACCTCAATGGGGTCTACATCGTGGGCAATAACTACAAGCTGCGCTTTCTTGTTCTCTACCAGAGTTGTGACGCTGTTAATGCCTGAAAAACAAGTTATCGGTAAGCTTTGATCCTGCTCAGTCTATTTTCAGAGCTTTCATAGAAGCCTCATACAACCAGCTCAGATCCATAACACAGCTTCATTACAGAAGCTGTAAAAACTTTTCTAATCCATTCAGTAGCACAGAGAAGATATTCCCTGGACAATCTGCTAAAGCTCAGGGTTAAAAAGCTCGTCTGTTTTGCTCTTCACTTTGAGCTCAGGTGAAGAAATTCATACATCATTGCAATAGCTTGTCCAGTCCCAGCCCATAGGAGCAAAGCACCAAATCATCAGTTTTCTCTCTAGCAGAGCACCACACTCCCACATCCATGTAGAGTTACCTGCTCGGAGGACCGGTGGCCGCTTTGTCGGTGCATCTCCCTTCCCTGCAGCTTTCTGCTCAGCACGAGCCAGCAGTCTCTGCTTCTTCTCCTGCTTATTTTCTGGCCTGTACTTGTGTGCCAGCTTCAGAAGCTGTGTAGCTGGAAGAGAACATCTACTAGTTAGTTGTATGACCTGAAAAGTCTAAGCATTACTTTTTAAAATACTTAAGTGCATCAGCGATCTTGGTGGTTGTCCTCACGTGTATTAGACAGCAAGTTATCATCATTTGCACAGTGCAAGAGCAAAGCCAGCAGCGCGACTCCAGGGCCCGTATTTACCTGCACAGGCATTTCTGTGGCAATGGGATCTCCTTCACTGTTTGGATGAGGAAATGCCTCTGGACCCCCACAGCAATTATGCTTCAAAGTGCTGTGCTTTCTCCTTTAAAGCACACAGCTTGTTGAGGGAGCTACTCTACACAGGCTAAAAGTTTCTTCAATAGACACTGTTCCCTGGAAAAGACTATTTACTCATTCACAGAAGACCCTTAAGTCCCTGTTTCCATGTCAGCCTGCGAGATGCTGACTTTCCCCATGAGCCTGCACTCACATGGATTTCTCAAACTCTCTGTTTACAGAGTCAGAAGAATCCAGCCTGTTCGATGTTAAGCTGGAAGAATAACTCTGATGGAAGCGTACAGTTAAGACAACTCTGGGTTTGGGTCATCAAGTAAGAGCTTTGGTATTTTCTATTCCCTTTTCAAAGCACATAGCAGCTACCAAGAGTTAAGCCAGCAAATTCAGCCAGCAGCCTGCTGCTGACATCACCCCATCACTACTAAAGCCTCCCTAAAATGCTTCCAGAGATACCCTCCAGCTTCTTAAGTCTTATTTTGGTTTCTCTCCTCTTCTCAGAGGCATATCCCATTAACAACCCAAGGCATGAGAACACCACGGGGCACATCCTTACCTGTCTGGCGGTCCAAAGCCTGCGTGAACTGGTTAATGGCAGGAGGCACCTTCAAGCGTTTGTACAGGATGGATCTCTGGCGCTGCAGCCTGATGTAGCGCGGCCATTTCACAAAACGTGTGAGATCGCGCTTCGGCTGGATATCCTGTCCTAAAAATACAGACTTTGAACTCAAAGTTGTTCCGAACCCACGGAGCAACAGCATGGAACACGCACGAGTGCATCAGTGATCTTGGTGGCAAAGGTGTCAGCACTGTTATTCAGATAGCAAATATTCTTTTTGCATCATCTGCACACGTGCAACAGAAATCCGAACAGATTTACCACACCACATGCACAAAGGCAAGATCTGTCACAGCAGAAGTATATGATGGATCTTTGTAATACAAAAATTTAACGAATTGTCCATAGCCACCCTCATATACTTAATGAAGGACAGCCCTTAATTGCAGGCAGCAAGGTAACTACCTCCATTTCTCTCTCCACTCTGTAGCTTTATTACAATACGCTTCTCTTTACGATTTAGACATTTAACTATAAAACAATCAAAAAAACCTTCGAGCAATTAGCCCAAATAGTCACTCACCAATGCCAAAGTTCTTGGGCCTCTTCTCAAAGAGGGGATTGACAACCTTCTTGGCCTCCTGCTTCTTGACTACAGCAGGGGCCGGTGCCACCTTCTTGCCCTTGGCCTTCTTTCCTTTCGGCTGCAAATAAAAAATACGCACTTTCTTCCTTCACCTCAAATACTCGTGTATTGTCCACGCTGGAAATGCCTTTTCCCAGACATTTCACTACCCGGCAGCCTCCCAGCGTGGCCTCGCTCTTCTGGAGAGCGAACCCTTCGCTTCGACTTTGAAACAGGAACCTCCCCGAGGCGCCGTTTCAAACCGCCCGTTGCTCTCCTCAGCCGGGCAACAACCGCCCCAGGCGCCCCCCGCCACCGCGAGCAGCCGAGACACCCTGACCGCGCGTTACCGGCCACCGAGCCCGGCTCTGGACCCGCCCTGCACCGGGAACGC